ACGCTCCTATGAGAATCTAATGCCGCTGCTGATCTGACAGGAGGCGGAGCTCAGGCGGTAACGTGAGTGATGGGGAGCAGCTATAAATACAGATGAAGCTTTGCTTGCTTGCTTGCCTGCCACTCACCTCCTGCTGTGCGGCCCGGTTCCTAACAGGCCACAGACTGGTACCAGTCCACGGCCTGGGGGTTGGTGACCCCTCCTATAGAAGACTAGTGTCATACTCCAAGATGAATTCATGTAGCATAAAGGGAACATCCTCATTCTTCTATAACCACCAAATTAGCTATGGCATCTTTCACATATTTTTCCAAAGATGATACACTTTGAGAAATTTAAAAAAAACATACTAATCTGGATATTGAGGATTGGATTCAAGACATGTAATCTATCTATTTTTAAAAAGGCAAAAATGGTCTAATAAAAAAATGGTGAAATATTTTGGCCAAAGATTTTGGCAAAGATTTTATGATAATTTACAACGTATTTTCCTTATTATTGTTTGTTATTATATAATTGTTTTACTTTTGTTTACAGGTAGTCCTCATTTAGTGACCACAATTGGGACCAGCAACTCAGTCATTAAGTGAAGTGGTTGCTAAATAAAACTACTACTGTGCTTACGATCTTACTTCAGTTCTCCTTTGCATTATAGATCTGTGAAGGTCATAAATGTGAGGACTGGTCATAAAGTTACTCGGGTGGTCATACAGTTATCTGGGTGCCCAGCTTGCGATTATGATATCACAGGGAGCCCTGGTCACGTGATTACCATTTGCGACTTTCCCTGCCGCTTCCCACAACAACTCAATGGGGAAGCCAGTAGGGAAGGTCGCCAAGTCGCTACAGTAAGTCATTCCCACTTTTTCTCCTGCCTCCAGCACACAACCTTCACACACACATAGCCTTCAGTGGCCCTCCTAGGCCCTCTCCTGGCCTTCCCCATAGAACCCCCATGCTATTTACCTGGGATTCCTGCCTCTTCCTGCTTAACAACCCACATGTCTTGGGGTTATGATGGCTACAAGGATTGCTGTCACTGAGCGATGCGGTCACATGACACTGCACTTTACAACCACATCGCTTAGTGACGGCAATCCCAGTCCCAATTGCCAACATAATCTGAGGACTACCTGTAGCTTGTTTTTGTATTTCTTCGTACTTAGTTGGGAGAGTTGTATTTTTGCGTACGTGTTTTTTAAACTATAATTTTCAAAACTCTTCAAGTGCAGATAGTATAACTGTAGAAATGTTAAAATATCTATGTGGTTTGCTTATGGAGTGGCTATGTGACTTGTTTAACGCTCTCCCTGATGATTTGAAAAATGCCATTGTTTCCTATACAAAAGGAAGGGTAGCAAGAATGAACATAAAAATTTTAGGGGGATGGGATACAACAGGTGATAATGAACAGTATTTGAGAAGTGCAGTAAGGCTTTATGCCAGGCAGGGGGTGTGCCCACCAGATTTTTGCTCTTGAGCAGGTCACTGAAATATGTATAAATGTGAGAAAGAAATTATATTGTACATTTGTTGATTTAGAGCAGTGTTTTTAATTTGGCAACTTTAAGGTGTGTGGACATCAAATTCTGGCTGGGGAATTCTTGGAGCTGAAGTCCACACATCTTAAAGTTGCCAAGTTTGAAAAACATTGATTTAGAGAAAGCAAACTGAAGTGAATAGGCTGAAATTATAGAACGTTTTGTGCAAATATAGAACTTAAGAAGGCTTGCTGAATGTGATTAAGAGGATATGGAAGTAAAGCATATGTCATAATAAATTAAATACTTAATAAACAGTTCGATACTGAGAAGGGAATAAGTAAGGATAGGTGATATCCATGTCCCTTTGGGTTGCTTAATATATTTTATGGATACATGTAGAAATAATGCTTGTGATGGTATTGTGGCCATCAATGTATGCATATTTTGTATGCAGATGTTATGAATGATTTCTACCAACTACTAGATACAGTTTGACACGACAAGGAGTATGGATATAAAAATTAATGTATTAAGGACTGAGGTATTTTTATTTATTTGAATTAATTAGCTGCCCAACTCCAATATACTTGTATTTGATAGGAAAAATGGATTGAAAGATTGCACATTATACATAAGTGTCAAAAAACTAGAGCAAATAGATGTGTACCTTAGTATAATATTTATTAAAGATGGGGAATGGATAAAGAAATGTTAAAACATGCAAATCCAGATAGGGGAGTGAATAATATGCAGCCTGTTGAAAGGAATGACTGGTTGTCAAACAAAGCAAAAATGGCTGTGTATAAAAGTATGTTTCTGGCCACTTTGTTATATAGAGTAACAATGGGGTATGTCAGGAGAAGCATCACTGAATGCACTGAAAACAGGATACTTAAATGTGCATGTTAAAACAAGAAGAGAT